ATGCCCCAACCCCATGCCACCGTACTGGCCGATTAAGGATTCTACGCTCCCAGCACCGGCTGACTTCAACAGGTCCCCTTCGTCCTCCTGGAAAGCGTCCTCCGGCTGTGGATGGACTCTGCCTCGACCTCGTCTGTTTCCCTGCGAACTTGCCGCCATGTTTGCCGATCGTATGCTTCTCGCACGAAAGGCGGCGGATAGAAACCCTACGTGAGGGAGAGACCGCTTCAACTTTCAGTTTATGTACTTAGAGAACATTCCTAGTGACATAGTTAAAAATATAAATTACTTATCCCGTGCAACGCACGGGTAAAGAATCTAGTTGAAATAAAATAAGTAGGTGCGACCGTGCGAGCACGGTGACCGGACTCTGGTCATTATTGGGTGATCAGGTGTCACACACTCATGACTTTGATCAAATAAAGATCATATATCCAGGCAAGAAACCTCGGGAACATTTGAGTGTGGTGACACATAGGTTTGGAAATACTTCATCTTAGGAGTCATTGGGCATGATATTTTGTCACACTTTGGGCCTATTGGTGGAATCGAAAAATGCTAGACATACTGCTAAGGCCCAAGGGAAATTGAAATTCATTCTTAATCCGAGTATTTCATTTAAGGGAAAAGGTGCAAATAGGCCCATGCACTAACCAAAAAAGGTCAAATAAGCCCTTATTTAGGAGGCTCTGTCCGGCCGTCGCCATTTGGAGTGGTTCCCGGTGAAATTTTTTTATGAAACTTTTTGAAGGCATTCACATGAATTCTTGAAGAAATATTTTTTGATGAAACTTTTTGAGCATCTTATTCATGAAGTCTAGTTTACTCATACCAAATTTCCACTTTCCTCGACTAAATATTCATGCCTGCAGTTCAGCTTCAAGAAATTGCTAACAGAGTGCCTCTATACATGAGGGTCAGGGTAGAGAACTGTGAACATGATTAGCAGGAAAGTAAAAAACTTCCTATTTAAATCCAACCTTTGTGTAGCTAGAGAAGATGGCATAAGATTCAGTAGCTATGAAATCATCCTTCTGGTGACTGAAATAAAATATTCACATTAAGAACCAATTGAAGTTGACAGTTTGACACCGATAACCGTTCTGCCACGGTCAAACATAAATCATCTCATTGTGAGGTCCATTTAGCAGTGACACTTAAACTGCATACTATGATGACATCCGTAGACGATGATCTTCTATTGCTTTTTAAGAAAAAAATAGGTAAAACCACTCCCCAGATCATCTTATGTGGCAGCATAAGTTATATATAGGACCTTAAGAGTTGAATTCCCAGTTTTACAAGAACAAGTTAAATACTATTGTGGGCATACCTGAAAAAATTGTTCATGCCCTAAATACTACTATGGGATAACTCAGATTGGTATAAATGAAAAAAATAAGCGTATGTCCTAGAAAAAGAGCTATCTACCTACAGAAACTTGACGTATGTCCTAAATACTACTATGGGCACCACTACAGGTCTAATTTGGAACATTATTAAAGTGGAACAAGAGCTTATATAGTGAATAGGGTTAATAAAAAAAGGACATCCCTCCAACAAGGGGTTATGAAGGAACTTATGCCCTGAATACAAATGTGGGATAACACAGATAGGCATAACTGGAAAATAGATGTAAACACATGTATGCTACCCTCAAACAAGATTTTGTGCCTACAGGAACTTCACATATATGCCTTAAATACTATTTCGGTCGCTACTACAGGTCTGATTTGACCAAATTATAGTGTGAATGTTGATGTCTTCACTCTTTTAGAGTTGTTATTTGTGGACAAAGTGGATTGTTGCAAATGTACACTTCACAGCAATGAGAGAAAGCAGATTATACATAATATATACACTATCTTATATATACATATATATATATATATATATTCTTCATATCTTATAAGATCATATAATAAATGTATAAGAGTGGAAACAGAGACCTAAGGTTATATGTGAGCCTGACTTCATTAACTTTTGTAAGTTTCTCATATTATCTACATAGCTATCTTGCTCAGCAAACTGTTGAAGGAAATATTATACTATGTATGTAGCATGATATAGTTCAATAATATTGTTTCTACAGTTGTTTACAGTAGTATGCCTTACTCACATATATGGTATACTGAAGTAAAAAAACATGATATACTTTTTGAAAGGTTGGCCTAAAGCCTTTTGACCTAAGGCTACTCATATATATTCCACTCATATTATCTATTAATTATTGGATTGCGCCTTGGGATTCCGTACTCATGTTTTAAATTAATATGCCTTACTCTTATAATATAAATTTATGAATTAAATTCGTATCTAATCAATTGTTCTTATATATTATTGTGACTATTTGAAGAATATATGAAGTAAAAACATAGATTTTTACTACTAATGTCGTAGAGATTCTAATACCATTATACCAAATGTTATCTATAGGTATTCTTAGCTTCTCAGGACAGACCCGATTCGACACGTATCACTCGGCTTATTCAAGGTTATGAGACTCATTCATTCGAGTCCAAGTTTGATTATTGACCATCTGGGTCAATACCCGCCCCGAGGAGGGAAGAGGAAAAATTGCAGGTATGACCAAGTGTGATATAGAATGCTGAATGTGTGTGTGTTCATTTCCATCTTTCTCTATTTATTGTTGTTTCCTCTGAGATCATATGTCGATTCGTGTTAGCCGATCCCAAACTCTTTTGGGAGTAAAGCTTGATTGGGGTTGTTGTTGTGTTGTTTGTACGCTCGCTTGTGGTCTTTGCTAAAAAAACAAGGCAAAAGTGCATACAAAAGTGACTCAATAAATGAGGAAGTAGCCCTTTTGCTAGAAGCAGGGGGGATAGGGGTTTGTGTTATCTATTTGTTATTGTATACTAGGGATAGCTAAAGGGGAGCCTTGAATTTTGAGAGGATACAGAGAACTAATAATGCAGCCTGGTATTAGGTTTGGTGCCTAAATGGCCGTGCAAAGATTCTGGTTATTAATATAACACTTACACTCTCATGATAGGAATTGAAAGACGATTATTACTTATGCTCATTGAGGTATCTATCATTGTATTGTCAGTTATAAAAATTCAATTGTCTTTAATAGCCCCTCATTACCCATTTCACGTGCTTAAAATAGGGAGTTATTTTATTAATTATTTAAGTGTAAGCTAATATTATAAAGTATCTTAAAGAAATAAGAAAATCGAGGACAGTTAGTTTCACTTTTTCACCTTTAAATAATAAAATGACACATAAGAAGAGCGGGAGTAATTGCTCAATGCAAAGGGCAGTTTCATACTCTGTTTTCAACATTGCTTTATCAGTGTGCTGCCTCTTTTGTTAGCTTAGCTTGTGATTGATTATTTTTTATATGTTTTCAGCGTTATGAATCTGGGAGGACGAAAAGATGGCTTCTAAGTTGGATACCTCAATGTGCAATTCACGGAAAGGGAGAGTTGTGCCGTATTTATGTTTTCTCCTCTCATTTTAGCCACTGTGATGTACCTGATATTGTAACTTTTTTGCTTCTGCAAAATATTGCAATCTTTATATAGCATAAAATGGACTTAACATACACAAATGGGAAACCTAAACCTAATGAGAATAGTGAATCGCAATACTTTTAAACATAGACCTACCGTGCTCCTTGCTTGATATGCCCTTAATTTTTACTTGCTCCACTTTACCTCAGAGGCTCAAAGTCTAAAAAATATCATGTACCTTATATGCATTTTATTTATTTGAACCAAGACATAAGGCTCCAACCGTATGCCACATAAGCCTAAAAGTATATAGTGTTTTGCTTAAATTATAATATACATTTATGTGCATGAAATTAAATTTTCATGCTATTAATGTCACTACAATAGTTTTGTTTTTTACTCTAGGGGGGTCTGGGGAGGGGGAGGGGGGGAGCCTGGAGTAATCAGGGCTTCCATTGAGTTGCAGCCCCTTATACATGTATATATATTCATTATGTTCATCTTTAGAATGACTCATTATTCAACTCTCTATTTTGTGTATATATTCATTATGGTTGTCTTTAGAATGACTCAAGCCAAATTCACAAAAAGAGATGTATGACATATTTTTTTAACATCTTTTATATCAATGAATTTTGTTGAACATATAGCTTTTTTGTAATTACAAACATCTCAATTATACTAACGAATAAATTTCATGCTATTAAGGTCACAACAATAGCATTGGGCATCTTTCCCTCGCGCAACGCGCGTAACAAAACTAGTTTAAATAATATATCTTGAGACCCTTAGTTTTACATGAGTACGGTCAAGGGATGGTCGTCCGGGCCCGGTCCGGTTCCGGGTCAGGCCCGGGCGGGCTTGGATTTCCTGGGGTGAGGCCCGGCACAGGCCCGGGAGTCTACCGGTACCGGGCCGGTTCTTTTATTTTTATTTTTTTGGTTTATCTTATTTATTCCACCCCCAAACCCCGCCATAATACCCAGCCCAGGCTGCCCAGCCTACCTAAACCCAACCCAAACCCATAAAAAAAAAAAAAAAAAAAAACCTGACCGGGCCCGAACCGGCCGGTCCGGTCCCTAAATATCAAGTTCCGGACCCGCCCCCATAACCCCCGGGTCGGGCCTAGGCCCGGTACCGATACAGGTTTACCAGGCCAGGCCGGTCCCGCACAGTGGCAGGCCGGGCCGGTCCCGCACAGTGGCGGCCCGGTCGGACCGGACCCGGTCCAAGCCTAAGTAAGGACTCGTAAAATTTCAAAGACCAGCCCTGATTGATCTTTTATTAGATTAAAATAAGGTATGGTGTATAAGTTAATCGGGTAACACGAACTTATGCACCGTATCAAATAAAGGGCAAATATTGAGGCAAGAAACCTCACAAATATTGAAAGACCTCACCTTCTTACGAGTCATTGCCCATTGGGTTCGATATTTAGTCACACTTTGGGCCTGTTGATGGAATGGAAAAATGCTAGACATACTGTTAAGGGACATCCAAATCGAAATCCACTCTTATTGAATACCATACACACACAAAACATTTAGGGTTTTGATTCTAGTTGAACTTGTAGTAATTTTTTGTGTTGTTTGTTTGCAGAAACTATGCTGAAGGTTGTCACAATACCCATGAGAAAATGCGCACACAAGATCTACTGGTAGGCAACATAAGTACAACAAAGCAAAGATGTCCAAATAGCTCATCAAGCATATCTCTAACAGTCAATGCTCTAAGAAGATAGACAACAGCAGCTACTACAAACAAAACAAGCATGAATATTCAATCCATGCACATCACTAGAAAATGTTACAAACAAGTTTTAACCTTTTATTAATAGCCACCACCAAACAACATACTAAGTTAAAACTGAACATCAATCAGCACCTCCAGGCAATGGCTGTCAACAACTCCTTGCCCTGCCAGCACAACACAAGCGCTGTCTGTCTCTTTTCAACATGAAACCCTCTGCCTTCATTTCTCTTCACCACGCACTCGGCTTGAGTCTCGGAAAAGTCGCTGAATGTCACGGGCAGAAAACCAGCCGAGCCAAACAAGGCTCTCCATGGTGGCATGGGGTCAGGAAAACGGAGCCGCCCTTGCACAATGCGCTCGATGCCGGGCTGGAATACGAACCTCTCCATCTTGTTTTCGAAATCCGAGGCAACGCATGATGCAGTACTCTCCAAGAGGACCTCGTAGTACTTCAAGGCATTGATTATGTGGTGCGGGGCAGAGAGCTCAGACCGTTCACATCCCCGGTCGAACGAAACTACGACTTTTGGAGATAGCCTCTTTATATAATGAATAACAGCCGGGAGATTGGGAAGATGGCCTGAAAGGGACCAAATCGGGAAATTGACGACAATTACCTCGCCATTAAACTGCTGAAAAGAGGAAGACGCATAAGAGCTAGGGTCAAAAGTGTCCAAGTTGACCACCTCAAGCTCAAATCTCACTCCAACATCATTTGCAAATTGTGACAAGCTTTCATGCATGAGGTTGATCTCAATGGGGTGGTGCGACGAAGGAGAGGCAAAAGCGGTTATCTTTAATGAAGGAGGCACACCTCCATTCCTTCTAGGAAGCTCTTGCATGAAGGATGACCATTGGGCACCGATTCCAATGTCAAAATCAAACACATGAACATATCCCGCATCGCCAACAGCTTCGAGGAGCGTTTGGTTGGATGTAAAATGCATGAATTGGAGAAGCGGGGAGACTTCAGAGAAAACCTTGTAGGCACCCATCTTGAAGACGAAATCAAACGGGGGAGGAAGGGAGATCCAAGAATGTGGCAACAGTAAAGCCTCCTTGAAATAAGAAACCGCCCTCTCCAATGGTTTCCCACCTTGAGAGAGGTTGTTGTGATTGAGCCGCGCCAATATCATTTGCGCGAGTGAGAATTCCCCCGATTGAATCAACTCTGCCGCCTTATACACCTGGTCATAAACTACCTGTTTCTGCTGCTGCTGCAGTTGGTTTGGCAACATTAGGTTCACCTCTTGCTTAGGAACCAGCAATGGATGAGGCGTGGGGAAACCCAAAAACTGCCCCGAACCAGAACCCATCAGGTCCGGTAGCATTTCTGGAAAACCTGGTTGACCTGTGTTGACAAAAGGCATTGTGGGGTTCAAGAGTTCCATATCCGTCCGCCTGGCCGGAGGAAAATCTTCTTGAATCCAACCATACGGTTTGGTTTGGTCCATAGGTGCATGAAAGTTAAAGTTTTGAAGCTTTACTTCAAGTCCAGAACTTATAGGAGCAAAGTTCGCATTGTTGGAATGGGAATTAAAAGAAAGACTGGAACCGGAAATGGGGGAAAGGGAAGAACTCGAGAAATTACCTCCGAAGCCCACATTCCCATGGATCTCTTTTGCCGGATCCTCGAACTCGCCAGAAACCCAGGGAAGAAGAGAGTGGTCGGAGACCCCGCCAGCGGACTCATACAGGAGAGACTCCCAATCTTCCAGCCCAAGAACAACTTTTTCAGACCCTCCATCCACCTCCAAGCCGGACGGGAGAGGCTGCAACTCCGCCCACTCTTCCTTCGGCCAAGATGCGGCGGAGGGAACAGCCGTGGTTGTATTGTGGGTGGCGGCGCCGCCGAAGGAGGAAGACGAAGCTGACGTGGAAGTGGAGGGGCTTGGGCTCCTTTTGTCCAGGACAGAAATGGGTTCGTTTGAAGACACAAAGCTCCCATCTTTCTTGAACAATTTGGGTCCAGATTCTGAAGACCCAAATCGAGAAGGCTCAGGAACGCCTTTCCCCTGAAAGCTATAGTCGCCACTGTATGGCATTCCTATCATCTTTACAAAATAAAAATCTGGGTAAGGAATCAGCAGCAAAAAAAAACAGTTATTACAGAGATAAACCTCAAGATCCATTATAAATTTATATGGAGAAAAGAGAGGAAATCAAAGGGCTTGCCTTTGAAAGTCAAGATTTGAAGAGAAAGGGATTCTTCTTCGACTGTCCTTCCCTGGGAAGACAACCATGTTCTTATTACCATTTCAGCTCCATATCTGCAACCCCGGAACTATGCACAAGCATCCCAACAGTAAAAAACCCTTCTTTAGCTGCTTCTTCTCTCTCTCTCTCACTGCAATCTGTATCGTTTCTCTCTGGTTCTCTCTTTTTCTCTGCCCCACTTTACTGTGTGCAAAAATACACTACTCCCTAGGGGGCTGAAGGGATGGCTGGCTGAGCTTTGGCTAGCTAAGCCACCCTTGACAAAGAGTACCTCCCCATCCCTCCTTCAGTCACTTGTGTTGCAGGAACAGTACTGTGTACCCTCATCTGTTCTGCCACGGATGCGTGAATCATAGAAAAAAGGCAACATAAGTGGCCCTCTCTCCTCTCTTCTCTCTCTGTAGTCTTGTCTATATCTCGCCTTCTCTTTCTTGCTCTCTTGGTTTCGTTACCTCACTACTTTAAACTTTAAAGACAAAAAAGTTTTACTGCTCCGTATTACCTATTCCCTACCTCCCTAAATTATCTTCAAACTTTCCTTTTTGGTCCGTCCCTAAATTATCTCCTCTTTCCTTTTTTGGCAAAGGATTTGTGGTTCACAACAATTCTTACACATTTCTCTCTCCTCTGCACAACTCTCCACCACACAAAACCCACTATCTTAATCCCCGTGCCGGGTCAAAAGGGGAGGTAAATTAGGGACGGAGGGAGTACTACGGAGTATCAATTTCGAATTGCTCCGTAGAAACTAATAAAAAAAGTTGAAAGTGTGTGATAAATATTTGGGTTTATTGTCGAAATAGGATTAAAAGTCATTCACTTTGTATAAATAGGATAAAAAACAAAATTATGTTTTCATAGGACTAATTATGTGTGTCTTGGACAAATATATACTCTTATAGCTATTAGAATGTTTTAATTTATAATAAAATAATAATAATAATTCGTACAAAATACCGAAAAATCAATAAATTTTTTTTTGAATAATTATAAATTAGGGGAAAAAAATTGAAAAAAAAATTGAAAATTAAAATGCAAAAAATACACGCCGCCGCCTCTGCCGCCCCAGCACCACCACCTCCAGTCATTTGGCAAAAAAATGTCAAATTCATTATGAATGCCATATTTTTTGCAGAAATAAAAATGATTCAAGTTGGCAGAATGATTCAACTTGGCATTCTCAAAAAGAAATATGTCATTTTTTAGCATTTTCAGAAAAAATGACAGTTTTATGTAAATATGACATTTTTTTAACGGTCGGAGGTGGTGGTGCAGAGAGGCAGCACCACCACCTCCTGTCACCGGGGGAAAAAATGCCAAAAATATTACGAAATCAAAATGATTCAAGTTGGCAGAATGAAATGTTGGCATTCTCAAGGAGTAATATGCGTTTTTTTTTGGAATTTAAAAAAATGACATTTTTTACACCGATCGGAGGTGGTGGTGGAGGGAGGTAGTACATTCGGTGGGAAAGACATCCATATTTTTTAAATTTTTTTTATGGGGTTTTACTATTTTTCATTAATTTAAAAAAAAATCGATTTTTTGTTTTATAAAAAATTTATTAATTTTTTTATTATTTTTCTACGAATTTTTGAACTTTTTTCGAATTTTTTATGAATTAAACATTTAATTATGACTTTTGACTATGTTTTACTCATGTTTAAAGGAGGGCTAGGAATGAATGAAGAAATAGGTATGTTTCCAATAGGATCAATATGATCCTATTTTGAAATAAAAAACATAGCAAGTCCTATTTTGAGTTTTTGTCATAGTTTTAGTCTTATTTGAAGTCATTTTTATAAATATTTGTGAAGAGGAAAGAACCATAAATTATGCTAGAACATTTTCCCAATTTGATTTATATTGGAGTTTTAGAAAATGACAATAAAGTAGAAAAGTATGTTTGTGATTGAGTAAGAAAAATATAAATGAATTTCGACCATAAAAACTTTTTTTAAGGGAAATGAGGTGATTTTTTTGAAACGTTCGAAAAAAATAAGAGATAATAATTTTATGAAACGAGATATTTTATACTCCCTCCGCATTCATATGTTCCCTACACGCTACATATGTTTTTGACCCAGTATTTTAGGATAGAATAGTAAGGGTAGTGAATAGTGTAGAAAAAGTATGAGAGAGTGTGTAAAAGTATATAAAAGAGAATATAAAAAGTAGATAAAGTAAGGGTAGGTCTGAGAACGGTTCGGTTCTTACTTAAATTGGTGGAACCGTTATAAAAATTTCAAGTATTGAAATCGGTTCGGTTCTTATGAAAAAATCAAGAACCGTTATGGAACCGAACCAATAATAAACGGTTCTTTCTTTTATCAGCTCCTATAATAATTTTTTTCGCATCTAGTGAATTAGCACATTATTTGCTTTCTACCGCATAAATATGTAAAAAAAATATCAAAACACTAGTACTACAATTTTATTGAAGGTTCTAATCACTTTAAACATCAAAGCTCAAACCTAACTAAGTGAACACTTAATAGAATAAAAGAATATTTCAATTTTCATTTAATAAGTGAAACATAAAAATCTTTGTTATGTGGTAAAAATGAAGGTTGGTCATCATCACAGTACGAGGATAGGACGTCCACTACGAGTCTTTCAAAATTTAAAAAATACATTGAGTTTGCATGTATAGATTACAAAAGCACCAGTATAGTGTGTTTGCTAGTAGTATAATTTACAATAAATCTAGTAGTTACAAACTTACAAATACCATGAAGATAGTGAAGTAAAATACATGCAATCAACTACGAGTTGTTTGACTTATTTTATATTTATAAAATTCCTGAAGTGTAACAAAACTTGTTTTGTAAAAATGAGCTTAACTCATTCGATCTCATGTGCAATATTGTTTACTTTTGTTTTCGTTGGTTAAATTACAATAGTTGGCTAAATATCAATGATTATACTACTATTGTTATTGTTGATATTATTGCTATTACTATCACCACTACTCCCTCCGCCCCCCTTGTATTGTCATGTTTTACCTTTACGGGAAGTCCCACAAAAATTGTCACATATCATATTTGGTAAAGTTTGTGTGGCTACAAATCATTCTTACTTTATTATTACGTTATCAATTAATATCAACCACACAAATCCTCTTCCGTCACAATATAAAAGGGACGGAGGTATAATGATTTTTATTTTTATTTTATTTTTACCAACGGTTCCTTAATGGTTTCGTGCACATATTTTTTATTGGAACCAGGAACCGAACCGTTAGTAACAACTACGAACCGAACCATTAACAAGTAATACCACATTTGTAGGAATCGAACCGAACCGGGTTATAACGGTTCAGTTACAACCGGTTCTACGGTTCTCGGTTCCGAAATCCCACCCCTAAGTAAGGGTAGTCGAGTATTTTATAAAGGATAAACTTACCAAAAATGGAAGTGTAGAGAACTTTTAAATACATCCCAAAAAGGAAAGTGTAGGGAACTTAGAAACGCGGAGGGAGTACCAGTAAGAAAGTATCAAAACACATTTTATACTAGTAGAGCACGACTCAAGAGCCAAGACCCATTTCTAGCATTCAACTCGTCACTATGGATGACTTCCCAGGGTCATCACACTCGTATGACATGATCCGTTGGTATGAGTGTCGAGTACTCAGTCAATGTACGTAGAGTACATGATCGGATTTCATAAGTCTTTTTTCAATGTAAAAAAATGCACACTGCACAATAATAAATTATTACTGGTGATGTAACTCAACTCGACACTCGGGGTTTGAAGTTTGAACGTGGAAGTGTGCACTTTGAACGAGTGACTCAACCCTCGATCGAGGTTGAAGTGTGATGCTATATCAATCTTATTTTTGACAATATTTCAATATGTTATGTTAAATATTATATCTATTCTGTACAACAATGACAATGACAACAATAAGTGTCAAATTTTCGAAAATAGCATCCTCATATAGATATATTAAAGAAGTCATTATTGACTGATAAAAAGTGGGTTAATGTACTAGAAGTGCAAGTATTATGAACAAAAAGATAAAGAAGCATGACATATATGAGTGCGTTGGTCTGATGGGTTGGTGGATTAGCAACATCGATCTTTGATTTAGGGATTAACCGCCTGACATGCTAGCACCACGATGTGGTGCAACCCCCGGCCCTTATGTCTATCCATCACTCAGTAGTGGAGCTCCGGAATGTCGTAGTGAACTGTGGCAATGCCCCACATGAATCTACCTTGACTTACATACTACACAAGAATGTGTAAAATATAGTGTGTTCATCACCTCCTTATTATCATTTAATTTTAAGAAATATATGGTTGTTATTTAACTAGAGAACTTTGTAGTTAAACCAGATGAATATTGGAGGTTGGAAACAATCATAAAGGGTGCATGGAATCAATAATAGTTACTTAATGACATCTTTAAATGAGATTAAAAATGATATCTGAGGGTTCCGTAAATAAGGAAGAATGGAAAAAATGGGGAGAGTATATAAAATTAAGTAATAAGTTGAATATGAGAGAATTAGAGAGTTAATGTGGGGAAAATGAGAGGTATTTATCGTTTTTTTATCCCCACCGCCAACCCCATCCCCTCCCACGATCATAAGAATCAACGGAGGAGGCTCCAATGCCCCATAAACTGTTATATTATGGAGCTATTAGGGAAAACCCCCAAATAGCCGTTGGGGACTGGCGTCAGACCGTGACTGACTGATCCCGGTCTCCATTATTCAAACACAAGACTGGCCTCGGTTGGGCACATTCTCGGCGCAAGTCCCATTACGGAATCGACAATATTGGTTCTGGTCTGATCCCACAAATTGGGTGCCTCCAATCGACCCGAGAATGTAGACAAGTTGTTTCTTGGGTCTCATGGCATCATTTTGATCTCTCTCAAAGAGAGTCTACATGTTCGAGTTTCATCTCAACTACTACAAGAATTTTTAAGGTCTATGGTAACATTAAATATGTAACATGTTTAAAAAAAAGTGGTACATATTTGATTTTCTGTAACACATTCTAAGCTAATAAAGAAAGTGTTACATTTGTTAGTTTAAATGCAACACTTTTTTAGAGTTATTTAATATTTTAACAATTGTAACACTGCAACACTTTCATCTAAGAAATACGGAGTAAATAAACACACTTATCATGATTAATTAGTATAGTACTTTGATATTAAACTAATCAATGAGGGATAAAAAAATGTGAGTAGGTCAAAGGAGATTCCCGACCGGGTGTATCTTGTCGCAGGGTCGGCGACTCATTCTGGGAGGGACGCTGGAGAATGGAAAACGACGTCCCCCCGACTCCCCCGTTAATAGGAGAAGGGGCTACCATGTTCACCGGAGAACAGACACTGACTCCGGACTTTTTATTCGAGGAACACATCTCATTTGCTCGC